AAAACGATGTGCAACGGAATCATTTTTGTGTTGAGTCAATTCTCAACTTGGTCCTTGCACGTTGTGAATAGTCTCGCAATATCAAAGGAGCTAGTAAAATCAATATCAAGCGCGATATTTTGTTCCAATATTAGGCGTGATATTGAGAGCATATGAGAGTGGAAAAATATCAATTAATTGATAAATTTTGCCAACACTGCAAAACTGCCAACACTGCAGTGGTCCAGAATGCAGATTTAGGTGGAATGATATTTTTTTTTTAATTCTCCATTTAAGAGATTTTTAGCCTTAGGCTAGTTCATCTCTAGGTGGAATGATATGTTTTGAGCCTGAAATTGCAACTTTAGACTAAAATTCTCTTTTACAAAGTTGTTTCTTATAGCTAGGCCCTCATTTTTATGACAATGAATTCTAGTGTGGTTCCTTTTATCATTAAAATCAAAAATCTAACTTTTTTGTTTGAATAAATTAGGGTATACATTCTACCGCAAAGTTATAGCTGAGCTGATTCAAGCAACTTTGTTGAAAATAACTTTTTAGTATCTCTTAAATTGGCCGATTTAGAGCTATTTTCTTGAATTGAGTTAGGGTGGCTCTTTAAAAAACAGTTGTTTTGCTCTAGTTTTCTTATTTCGAATTTCTCAGCAAAGGTGTTTTGAAATAACTTTTAGATCTTAAGAAGGCGCAAATTTATGCTGCACAAAGCTTGTCAATATCTTTCGCCTATCAAGAGTTATTGACGTTTTTATACTAAAAATATGCACTTTTCAAATGTTAATATCTCTGGTTGGGGCAAAAAAAAAATTATTACGGCATTTGAAAGGGCGTACGTTATTCTCAATAATATGAAAAATAGGGAGGTATGTTATTTTTTGAACTCGTATAAAATCAATTTGAATTTATTCATATTCATATTAGAAGAGATACGGGCAACTTGTCCAGCTATAAAACATTCGTCTTAAAGAGTTTTAAAAGTCTCTAGAAGATGACTTTCATGAGAAAGTTGTTTGAAATTAGCTCAGCTATAACTTTGCCGAATAATGTATACCTGAATTTATTCAAACAAAAAAGTTAGATTTTTGATTTTAATGATAATAGGAACCACCCTAGAATTCATTCTCATAAAAATGAGGGCCTAACTATACGGAACAACTTTGTAGAAGAAACTTTTAGTCTAAAGTTGAAACTTCAGGCTCAAAACATATCATTCCACCTAAATCTGCATTCTGGACCACTGTGCACTGCTTGCACCGAGGAAATCTAAAAAATATATGCACTCTACCGATTACATACGATTACAGTCGAATTTCGCTCGTTGGGCTATCTTTAAATGGGCTACGTTTTAGTTGGGCTCCCGTTAGATGGGCCTACCTAAATCGAAGGCGAACGTAATTTCTGACAGTGCTGATTCATTTTCGAGGGGCTCATGGATGAACAAGTACCCTCAAGGATTGTGATGATAAGTATCAATCGGTGTATCCCTCAACCCATTTTCAGCTTGACAACTCAGTTCAACTAACGAGAGCCTTTCACTAACTGAGCTATGGTTTAGCGGCTTAAAGGGTGATACGGTCAAAATTTGGTCAATATCAACTTGACGTATTTCTTTCAATTTTGCATTTAAAAAACCTGAACACCCCTCATTTTGAAGGTGTGTGTGTGTAGAATGTTGCTCCTATTTTGATTTTGGAATTCACTCTTCAGTTGTCAAAATGTCGTCCAAGCAAGAAGAGCAGCGTATCAAAATTTTGCTCGCGCATCGCGAAAATCCGAGCTACTCGCACGCAAAGTTGGCAAAATCGCTAAAAGTTGCCAAATCAACCGTTACAAATGTAATTAAAGTGTTTGGGGAACGTTTGTCGACAGCCAGGAAGTCTGGATCGGGGGAAAATCGAAAACCGGAAGCCGCTGAGACGACAAAGAAAGTTGCCGGTAGTTTCAAGCGAAACCCTAACCTCTCTCTCCGAGATGCCGCAAATAAGCTGGGTGTATCGTCTACAACCGTGCATCGAGTCAAAAAACGAGCCGGACTATCGACTTACAAGAAGGTAGTGACTCCAAATCGCGATGATAAACAAAATACGACGGCCAAAGCGCGATCCCGGAGGCTGTACACGACGATGCTGACGAAGTTTGACTGCGTGGTAATGGACGACGAAACCTACGTCAAAGCCGACTACAAGCAGCTTCCGGGACAGGAGTTTTATACGGCAAAAGGAAGGGGAAAGGTAGCAGATGTTTTCAAGCACATGAAACTGTCAAAGTTCGCAAAGAAGTATCTGGTTTGGCAAGCCATCTGTACCTGTGGCTTGAAAAGCAGCATTTTCATAGCTTCCGGGACTGTCAACCAAGAAATTTACGTGAAAGAGTGTTTGAATAAACGTCTGCTGCCTTTCCTGAGGAAACACGGTTGTTCCGTACTGTTTTGGCCGGATTTGGCATCTTGCCATTACGGTAAAAAGGCCATGGAGTGGTACGCCGCCAACAACGTGCAGGTGGTTCCCAAGGACAAGAACCCTCCCAACACGCCAGAGCTCCGCCCAATTGAGAAATACTGGGCTATTGTCAAGCGGAACCTAAAGAAGACCAAAAAAACTGCTAAGGGCGAGCAGCAGTTCAAGGCAAACTGGCTTTCTGCGGCGAAGAAGGTGGACAAGGTGGCTGTACAAAATCTGATGGCAGGGGTCAAGCGTAAGGCCCGGCAATTCAGATTTGGAAAAGCGGAAGCCTAACTGAATATTTTTCCTGAATTTTATACTAATTGAACTTGAAAAAGAAATTTAATTTGATTTTTTAAATAAACGATTTCACCGATTTACACGCGTTTTCCCTTGACCAAATTTTGACCGTATCACCCTTTAGCTCAACGAGCAAAAGATGATTGTACTTGCTTAAATTCATCTAAATCAGTTGTCATCAATGTCAAAACCGCATAATAATTATTCTCATGGAAAATGACAAGAAAGCTAATGATCGGTCGTTTCGTCTCGTGATAATAAGAGGACCTGTTTTCTCATTGTCACATGACGGCCGTGATATTTACTAGCTCTGCTAAATACTTAAATTTTGTTGGGATGTTGGGCTTTGACAAATTCAATAAAACTCGTCGATTTTGTCCAAATAATGTTAAAGGCTAAATTCAATTAATGAGTAAAGCTCTTCAGTTATTGTTAGCATGACATATTTGCAATGCCACCTGATGAAAAAACTCCCAACTGAATTACCCACCATCTGATAAAGCATTTCAACCTGAACCATTTGGTCGAAGATATCAACCTTCTATTTAGTCGAGATCTTGAGTTACACTATCAATTCAACTACATCGTCTAGTTAGATAAATCACCTCGTCAGATAAAGTGTCACCAAAACTGCTTAACAATGTGTTCCATTTTGACACTCCTTTCCCATCACACTTAAACCAATTTGTTTGGAATGCATTATATTTTACACTGAAATTTTACAACGGAATTCAATAGTGCAATGCCCTCGTGTCAGTTCCCTTTTCTGAGAGGGCCATATTATGCATTTTAAAATACCTTTTTTATGCAAATAGGCTGTTGAAGTTCAAGAAATTCAAAAGCCGAAACTTTCAAAGCCCATAAAATCCTATCAGAACAATGTCATTCACAAGCTCCGTTAAACACCTTTCTCGCTATCGCTCTATCTTAAAGTGTCAACAATTTGCATATTCATTGGCGCACAGCTTATACAACAACAGAAAAGCTTTTTCAACTCCATTGGAAACCCGTAGCCGTATCCTCCTATGCAAGAACCCGGTCAGAAATCAGAAACAGTTTAATCTCTTAACGACCCATCTCCGCTCGCTCGGTTTGCCTCGCATCCCATATGCAGAGGACCACAACGTCGATCGATCGACCGACCGACCGACGCAACCCATGAGCCATGTTTATAACCAGAAAAACCATAACATCTCAGTTTCGATAATTACTCGCATCTTTCCCTACTAACAATATGCATCGGAAGAATCGATTGGAGTGCCCCTCCTCGTCGCCAGCCTGCCACCCGGGTGGAAATGGAACATGGAATATGTTCATCGAATCCGGTACTTCATTAATGCCATCCATATGCATGAGGATTATCCCCTCTCTTCTCTAGACTCTAGAGCTATAATGTAGCTGGCTAGCTTACGACAACCAGAATATGATGGTGATGATGATGATAGCTTCGAGGGTCGTCCGTCGGAGTGTATTATTTCCATAAACGATTTTCCACTGCACAACAATATCGACACCGTTTGACCCCTCTATTGGACCGGGGTGTCTTCATCCTCTTCTCGATCCGAGTCGATATCCAAAGCTAGGGACACACACATTCGAACCGGACCTGCGCTGCCAGGCATAGAGAGAGAGAAAGAGAGAGCGAGAGATAATCGCTTGGAAAATTTCCATAATTAAGATATCAACTCTGGGCGCGCACTATTTGACAGTTCCGGCCGTATGCTTTTAATCCAGTGATATCGGCCAAATCGGCCACGCTCTTGTTATGACCCAGAATTTTCAGCCGCGTTGCGGCTTGACGTAATTTGTGATGGAAAAAGAATCGCAACATCGCATTTGATTACAAAGCAGTCCACACCAGGGATGCCAGCACTATTTCGAAAAAAAATCTATCAAAATCCGAAAAAGAAGCCTAGAAAAGCTTGCCACCGCAAATTAACATACAACCTATTTCGAAACTACTCAAATTTGAGCTAAACTGAACCTACCCAAAAATCGGTAAACTAAGTTGGGAATAACAAGTTGACAAATGGACAACATTGACCTGAATCACTCCCAACTTTGTTTTCCCATTTTTGGGTAGGTCTAGTTTTGACCCATCGGAGTGGATCCTACTCAAATTAGGGTAGTTTTGAAATAGCGTGTAGAAATCATCCAGATTTCTATTTAAATTAAATTTAATTTTTTAAAATAATTATTCTTTGGTTGGCAACCCAGTAACAGATTATTTACAAACACCTTCTGTTTCTTCATCAATTTCAGTGGACGTCAGCGTGGATGGGCGGCCGATTTGCGTGACGCTGTGCGACACGGCCGGACAGGACGTGCTGGACCCGCTGCGGCAGCTGTGCTACCCCGGTACCGATGTGTTCCTGCTGTGCTTCTCCGTCGTCCAGCCCGAGTCGTTCCGGTCGCTCGCGTCCAAGTGGGCGCCGGAAATCTCCAAACTGCGGTACGGGTCGGTGGTGCTGGTCGGGACGCAGTCCGACTTGCGGAACGATCGGAGCACCGCACTCAAGTTGCAGGTGAGTGAGCGAGGTGGAAGGGTGGATCCGAATCGTGAGTGTGGATTTTTGGTGACTAACTGGGGGATATTTTCTCATTGTGTTTGTTTCAGATCCAAGGAGAGAAGCCCGTTCCGGTGTCGGCGGCGTGGGACTTTGCGCGGAAGATTGGAGCCAAATACATCGAAACGTCCTCGCATAAGAAGGTAAGCTGAGAATCAGAGGAAGGTTGCCTTTTCCGATCTTATAATTCTCAACAAACGTGCGTAGGCCAGCGGAAGACGAGAACTGTCAAACTTTCCGTTTCCGTTCCGCTTCCGTTCATATTGCGTTTGGGCCTTTACACGCGAACCAAAGTAGAAACCTTAAGAAATTTCCGGAAACTTCAGCAAAGCTCCGATAGAACTTCTAGAACGTGATAAAAATTATATGAACATCCGAAAAACGTGAAAGTATTTTAAGGGTGTTATATCATGGAGATATCAAGAACTTTAAAAAATACGAAAATTTAGCTAAGTTCCATAAATCTAAAAAAATGTGAGAACTTTTAGTAAGCAGCGATAAATATCTTCAAGAAACTCCAGAGAACTTAGAATTTAGATAGTTTCATTCAGTTTCAGCGATGTTCCGAGCACTTCGAGGGCGATCAGATACCTTTAGAATAATCCCATTAACTTAAGCAAATTTACAGCGACTTACAAGGAATTCCGTGGAATTATGGGGTATTCCAAGAATTTTTTGATTCATCCAAAAACGTCAGGTAATTTTGAATATATGTATATATCAGAAAATTTGCCGAATTTTTATACAAATTTAGAGATTCTCAGGTAAGCATAGTTCAGGGCAAATAAGTGAACGTTCTTAATAGTTAGAATACTTAAGGAAAATTATAGAAACATAATTAATTTCAGTAAAATAGCAGGTTCTTAAAATATACTGATTAATTCAGGGCTGTCTAGAGAACTTTAAAGAAATTCAATAATCGTTTAGGTAGTTTTAATAACACCAGAAAAGTCTAGATTATTGAAGAAGTTTTAAATTAGTGTCGATAATTTAATGGAAGTTTCATGAACTCCAGAAAAATCATGAGAAATTCAGTGGAAATCATAAAACTATATTAATTATTTCGTTCTAATTCCATAAAAAACTGCAGGAGCACAAAAGTTCCATAAATTTTGAAAAACTTCGAAAACTTCACAGAAGGACAGTGGTCTTCAGAAACATTTCGAGAACTTCATATAAATCTATGGAGATCCGCGAACTGCAGGAATTTTTATGAACTTTAGCAAAATGCAGGAGCATTTGAAAGAAGTTTAGAAAGCTCCGAAAATTGGAGGAATTTCAGGGAGAGGTCAGCCATTAGTCAGAAAATTAGTGGGACATTTAAAGCAGTTACCAGATTTTCATATAACTTCAGATACGTTAAGAATTTAACTGAGATCTTTGCATAAGTTCAGAACTTCCTTGAAGCTTAAACATTTCAAGGACGGTAAAATTAAATTCAGCGCAGTACAACAAGCTTCATGAAAACTGCAAAAATGTTAGAGCAGTTTGTTACTGCCTAGCCAGAAGGGCTAGTCTAAAGGTTCCCCTAACCTCTGGTCTAGCCACGGAGGTCGTCTGGGGTGGGCTACATCCGCCTCTTTTTACTGGCTAGCTCGAGCTTGAGGCCTCTCACTCTCAGGGTCGGCTTTTGTCATGGAATCGCTATCCAAGAGTCCAATCTTTCATAGATTAAACGACACACAAATTCACTTTAATCCTTTTTATTTCTTAATTAACACTTACAGTGGGTTGGGTGTGTAATGGTTGGCCGGCCGGCTGCTGAGGGGACACGTGGTCGCGGGCGAGTGGTCGGGGGGGACCGTGATGATACTGGGCGCCGTCGTCTGGTTGGGTGCGCTCAGGGAACCAGTCCGTGTGATTGACCGTGGTTCGGGCTACGGCCAGGGTTACCTTCGGGCGTGGCTCACACAGGGAAACAACACGCGATGTCGGGATGAGCGTCGTCGGTTTAACCTCAAAACTCGAGGGCCGGCTTGGATTGCCGAGATTTGGTCCACAAGGGAGTAACACTGGGAGCTAGCGTGGGTCTTCGCGTCCTGATTGGCGACAAAACACAAGCCGATAAACTTCAGGATAAGCGCGGTACAGACTAACCCCTTTAGTTCCGTGGGTGTCTGGGGAAAAACGGCCACAATCGCTCACGAGGTTCTAGTTTCGTCTCCTTAACTTTGCACGATGATCTGTTCACTTCCGTGGTACTTTGGAAAAAAACCTCGATTGTTGCTCCAGTCCCAGTAGCTAGCCCTTCATTTCTTCTTCTCCTTTTTCTGTTCCTTCCTTTTTATTCGTCCTATATCCACCCGCGACAATCCAATAACCGTCCCCTGCAGCAATTTTAACGTGTTGTTGTGTGTACTAAATGTGTATTTTAACAAACTTTGTTCTTGCTTTTATTATGCATGTATATATATAACATTTTAACTTGTAGAGTGTGCAGGTAACTTGTATATTCCTAACAAGAAGTTTATATTAACTATCATATTTATTTTTAGACATATACACATAAAAATGAGACATTTAACAATAAATAATTGAAATTTTAATACGAATAGTTTTTTATTCGGCAAGCAAGTTGGGATATTACGTCGCAACGGTAACAAGTTTTGAGAATTCCAGAAAAGAACAGAGAACCTCAGAGCAGTACCGTTAACATAAGAGAAGTCATATAAAGTTTAAAGAATTTAGAGAACTTCAGCGAATTGTTAAACCTTTAGAAGAGATTCATGATCGTTAGAAAAATTAAGGCACTTTAGGAAGTCCTATCTAATAAAGTCCAGGGAAGTTTAAAAATTTGATGAGTAGTATTGTGAGCGCCAGGCTAGTTTCTCAAACTACAAAAGAACTTCAAGGCAGATTCATTAACTTCAGGAAAAATTTGGGAAGTTCTCAGAATAGTCCATTCCATATTCAATGGAAATTTCGATGAAGCCTGGTCCTCCGAATTTAATTTTCTTTTAGTTTACCTCGAAATTACCTTGAAATTCTCCACAATAAGACACCCTTTGGAAAGATTTTCAGAATATCAATTGAATTCATTTCAGATTTCCTTTTGAATCTCACTCTTTCCGTTGGAATTCTACTCGGATTGAAAGTATCCTAAGAATTCATTGGTATTTCTATTCTATTCCTTAGATTTTTTCTCATAATTTATTTGGCAAACTGAATTCATTTTCCGAATTCCGTTGAAGATGTCCTGGAGTTATTCTCAGATTTAACTGTGATCCTTCTTTTAGTTTAAAAAAAAATCAAAGAACTTATGCTACGAATTTGTTTTCTACCACAAACTTTATGAAATTATCCTCAGAATGCTCTTGGAATTTTCCTTTGAACTTCACAGGAGTTGTTCTTCTCAGAAATTTCTAAGGGTGTTCAATAAAATTTACTTTTAATTAAATTTAGGGTCACTTTTTAGTCACTATTTTTTCAACTATAAGTCACTATTTAGTCACTTATTTCTTCAACATGGTCACTAAAATTACTATTTTTGACATTAGTGATGGTTAACAGCCCTGTAACACTAAAATATGGCAATGCTTGTATTTAAGAGCTATGCCAGAAGCAGAAACATCTGGAATATGCGGTGATTTGTTCGAACCTACTTTTTCTCAACGCTAAGTTCATTTTAATTAACTTCTTCCTCTAACCTGATGAATATGGGCGTCTTAGTGGAATACCTCTAGCCTTTTGATGAATTGTTTTTTTTTTATACAAGCGTTGATACGTTAAACCACAGACAAACAAACGTAACTCTTTGAATAAAATTATCTTCATAACATAGTACCGCTAAACATAGAACTTCAGTAATGAAATCTAAAGGCGCCGGTGGTGTAGTGGTAAGCGTGATTACCTCTCACCCTAGCAGGCCTGGGTTCAATCCCAGTCGGCGCCGCCGGGATGTACTGAGGCATAACATCTCTGATCACGCCTTCCTTCGGATGGGAAGTAAAGCCGTTGGTCCCCGGTTCATGAGTTGATGGGTCGATAGGTAGGGTCCAGGTGTGGGAGCTGCCTTTCTGGCACGTCGGTAGCATTGGTGCTCAGCACGGAAAACAAGATCGACGGAAAAAACAAATCAAAGGAAAAAAAAAAGTAATGAAATTTCGCGGAAAACAAGCTTGCTCGCTGATTCGCAAACAATGTTGCATGCAAGATAAAGTGAATATATAGAAACGTCAAAGTGATTAGATGCCAGTGTTGCGGCGAGTAGTTCACGGAAACGATAACGTTGAAACCAATCGTTTAATGTGCAAACGATGATCCAGCATGAAGAGTTACGTCTGTTTGTCTGTGGTAAAACGGTTCGTATTTTCAACGGTGGATGCAAGGAAAGGGTTCTGGAAAGGTGTTCTTGATGATGCCAGCAGCCTCCTAACCACCTTCTGGACTCCCTTTGGCAGATACCGCTTGATAAGGCTGCCATTCGGAATATCATCGGCTCCGGAGATCTTCCAGTTAAAGTTGCGCGAGGCGATCGGAGATTTGGATGGAGTAGAATGTCTTGCGGACGATTTGCTGATTTTTGGATGCGGTGAAACCTTGGAAAAGGCGATGCAGGATCACAACCGTTGTCTGGAGAAACTCTTTGAACGTCTTAAGCAGTGCAATATAAAGCTTAATCGTTCGAAACTCGTGTTATGTAGACCGTCAGTTAGGTTCTTTGGACATGTCCTTACCGATAGGGGCCTTCAGGCCGATGAGTCGAAGATATCAGTTATTAAAAACTATCCAGCTCCAGCAAACCGGAAGGACCTTATGCGGTTCGTAAGAATGGTGAATTATCTTAGCAGATTTCTTCCTAACCTTAGCGCAAATCTCCACACACTACGCAAGCTGATATCCGAAAAAGTTCAGTGGATATGGAGTTCCGTTGAACAAAAGGAATTCGACGTCAAAACCCTTCAGTATTACGATGTGAAGGAACCCCTTTGGATTGAGTGTGATGCTAGTTATTTCGGGCTCGGAGTAGCAGTATACCAGGACAACAGGATCATCGGTTATGCATCGCGAACACTGACACAAACGGAAAAAAAAACTACGCTCAGATAGAGAAAGAACTTCTAGCGGTGCTATTCGCTTGTATCCGGTTTGATCAAATAATCATCGGAAACCTGAGGGTAGTTGTGAAGACAGATCATAAACC